GTGCAAAAGACCATCTGAGCAATCTATTCCTCTAAGAAAGCTTATCTCTCTGCTCTTCACAAGCCAAAACATTTTATTTGTATCAGCACACACTTCGAGTGCTGCAGACGGGGAAATAAGACAAATGTTACAAATGATTAGGGCAAAAATACACACTGAAGTATTGACAAAATGTGTTGAGAAAATGGTGTTAAAACAATGCCATTAACATCCAAAACACCGACTTACAAAGAGACAATTATTCTGGGAATAAAGTATAAAAACAATACATATATGCCATTATTAAGTGATAAAATTGCATTCTACTCAAGTTCTCCATCTCTTCATCACTGTTTTATTATTTTCTTGGCATATCATACAAACAGCCTTTTGTCAAATATGCAAGTCATAGGGGTTCACCAGTCACATCACCAGGTAAAAACAGTCTGGACTATTTTTAGAGAATTATGGGGACAGAAATGGCAAACAATGCCAAGCAACTAAAAATAAATGTAGTAATGATGTCAGTAAACACAATAAAAGAAAAATTTCTCTCTATGTTATTGTATTGTCAGGTAAATAAGTAATGCATTTCCTACAGCAGTTGTTAATAAGTTTTGCCAAATGATAAATACCTGAATTCACATACATTGTAGCATATTGCAAAACACCAAGGATCTTTTTTTCTTGTAGTCTTTAAAATATTTTAATAAAGATAAACAATTTATATTACGAAAGCCAATTTTCTGAATGTAACAGAACGCTTATTTAAAAAGTAAAGAGCCTTCTTGGAGAACTACTGTATGTAGTAGCAGCTATAGTGTCACTTTTGATAGTTTAGTAACATTTCATTGGTTATATATGTAATACGACCTAACAATTATTATATAATTAACACCACCTAAAACCTTTCTAACAATTCTAACTGTAAAATGTAATAAATATCTTTACAGACCAGAGTGGTTTAATGCTGAAACCAGTCCAGAAAATTTAGTATTATTGTCATGCTTAAAACCAGCCAGTTATTGATGAAGTGGCATTCACATTATAATGTTTATACCCACAGACATTACAATATAATGTTTAACAGGTTTACAATAACTTGGACTTAATGAGTTTTAATTCACAGTCAAATAACTTATCTCTTTTCCTTTCAGAACAAAATCTGTAAGGAGTTCCTGGGGTTCAATTGTAAAGGGTTCACAATTCTAATTTCAAAATATCCCCAAGCCAACACTCAATTTGCATGCCATGTAATTTAATTAGATAAAATTTATACACAGTAGACTTGCAACTTACGCTCTCACAAATAAGGTGCTTGCAACTTTACACTGTCAGCTCCATAAAGAATCTTGAAAAAATGCTGAAAAATTTGTCAAGCATGCTTAGGAGAGCTAGTTAGTGAGCCTAAACAGTTGCCATATTTACTTTTATTTACTGTTTTTATACTTACATTTAATATGTTGTAAGAGATCAGTTGGGTTTTTATAATGGTTATAGGGTAAATTTGACTATACGTGAATTTGGCTTTACGTATTACTCAAACTCCCTAACCCCCACGTAAGCTGTGAGTCGTCTGTACATTGGAATTTGTAAAAAATATATAAAAAAACTCACCTTTGGACATTTAGAATTCCTTGATGTTTCTATCATTAGATCAGATCCCATTTTTTCTCTGTTGCAATTAAAAAAAGAGTTATGTTATTTAACTATTAGTGTTGAAAAAGAAGTACAGCAGTGGAAAAAAAACATGTTTATCCATGTGGAAAAATTAAAGAGGTAATACACAATAAAAACACAGGGTCACCATAGAGGAAAAGCTAAATTAAAAAGAATTTGATATTGGTGACATTCCGCACCATATCTGGAAGTCTTTAAAACTAAATCCTAAACAAGCTGATGTTATTTTGCTAAATTATGGACTACCCACATAAAACACAATTTGGTTTTATTACCATCCATTCATAAGATATAAAGAGTTTGTTCAATAATAAAAAATGAAAGGATTGTCAAAAAGCTCCAAGATGTAGAACATTTAAAGTAAAAATATATTTTTTTATTATCTTCACAATGTCTTTATTTGGATTTGTTTTGTAAACTATTACGAAATACCTGCAAGTACTTTACAAAACAAATTCCTAGGATTCTTGTAAGTCATTAAATTATACATGACAAGGAACAAACAATAACAATGAACTACTGGCAAAGGAAGCTTAACGTAGAATTAGAGGATTTTAATATTTACAAATGTACATATTTATTGTGTGTAACACAGACTTCCGTGTCATGGTTATTTTTTTACATATAAAAATAAAACAAAATATGCAAGTAAAAACTTACTTAAGTATTGCTTCCCACATTTCACTGTCATAAAAGGCATGGCTCCATCCCATCTTTACTGTTCCCAGTATGACATTCTGCTTGAAAACATCAGAACCCAGCCTCCTGTAAAGCTCCTCACACTCATCCAGGGGGATCTGGAAAACTCCCAGCATGAAGGCTAAAATGGCCCCTAGTAGGTAATAAGAAGATCAGAGTGATTACTGTTATTTATCACAGATATTTCTTTTTTCGTCTTGCTAAGTGGTACCTGTTCCTCTCAAGAGCACAAGCTGTTCATAAAATGGTTCTGGATTTTGAATGTTTTTATTGTTACCAAACTGTCTTATGACCCATCTGCAAAAGGGAAAATAATAGAAAAAATTATTTTCTACAATCAGGGACAGTATAAATTGTGGTTATTATTGTTTTCTGTGCAGAGTTCGAAAGGTCAGAGCTATGAAAAGGAAGCTACAGTATGGGCTACTTAACACAGACAACTCAGAGAATTGAATTCTGAGACTTTAGTCTTTGCAGACATTTTGACTATTCACTAATTCAGATTCTGATCCTGGTAAAGTTAATTGATGTGAAAACAACTCTACTTCGTAACAGACATGCCCTAGTCATACAAGACTAAATGACCAAAGGATAAAAGACTTCTTGACAGATCACCAGATCCTGATATAGAGTGAGAAAGACAGAAGGATTGTTTTGATGTGCCTTAAATTTCTTGGGAACATGCTTGTGACATCACATAATGTCATCTGGACTCCTGAACCAAGGAGAAGAGATTCAATAGAATGAAATCAGGCATGTGGCAACTATGTTTGAATGAACATTGTCTTAACGTGTAATAAAGCTCCAGATGTTCTCTCAATGTTTCCACTGTGATTTTTACCTAAGTGGATTAGGCCTTTCCTGTCCAATGGCTTCCTTTAGCTTAGAACAAAGCTGGTGAGGAAAAACTGAACCAGTATGAATATAAAATTGCAGAGGAATATAGACAATATGGAGTAAAAAAAGAACAAGATAAAACATGCTTAGCAAAGCATAACAAAATCTGCCATGTTTATATTATTAGGGCCAGTTTCTGCTTTCAAAATCTGTAAAGCCGCTGGTGCTGTACCAATGATAGTGTGCTCTGGAACTGTAAGAATATATGATGTTCACCAGCGCCTCTCTGTGGGCAGACTGCTTTAATGCAGATATGACTGTCCTCACACACCCTATATATTTAAATATACAAAAACATATAACCACACAAATACTATGGAAACTCAATAAAGGCTGTTTTACAGCACAACAGGAGCTGTGTTTTGCTAGCAGAATTGAAAATAATAATCTTGATAAGAACTGAACACATCCTGATTAACTGCTATGGCCTAAAAAGTAAAACCCAAAATAGAATAAAATTGAAAATTAGTTTAAAAGCTAATTTAAGAAATCTAACTGCAGGGGACATTTAGCATCCTTTTATTCAGTTTAAAATGTGGGTTTTTTATGACAGAGGAAGAACAAACTGAGCTTTGGCAATACTGTAATAAAGTTGTAAAAAAAGGCTTGCAAATTCCCATAAGAAGGTAAGAAACTTAGTTTGACCTTAGGTGACAAATTTACAGCCTGTCCTTCCTTTAAGAAAGGAATTCAGGTGCAGGTGCCTCTTTGTTCTGTACTCTTTGCTCTGTCTGCACTTCAGACCTTCTGTTTTTTCATGCAAATAATGTTTTCTAGCTCAGAGTGATATGTAAATTAGATTAAAATAAGTCTTTCCTTGTTTGGCAGAGAGGCTGCCAAATCCACACAGCTGAATTTAAAAAAGCTGAAAAAAGGCTTGAAAAAGCTACTTTGTAAATGAATAATGAGTAAAAAATAAACACATGCCCATTAAAATCTCTCTTTGTGATACAAAGCCATATAAACAGCAGATTAAAAACATTTTCTTTTGCAGAACAAAAAAGTACATGTTCTTTTACAGATTATGTTAACACTTCAGTCAATATCCAAACCCGTTACATATTTCTTCCGCTGAAAGGCTGTAAAGAAAAAAAACAGCAGCAACTACCTTTTCATAATTAATTAAAAGCTTTATATATATTTCCTGCCTCAATTTTAAAAAAAAACAATTTAACTTGCAAGTACAACACTTGTCTTGGCTCTGAAGTATATTACCTGTACTGACACCACAGATATAATCAAACAGTTGATATACTGGTTTTCCAGTGAGGTCTTCAAGTTTATGCAGTGTCTGAAGAGCCACTAGTCCCCTGCATTAAGAAAAAAAAACACTTTACAGTCTTCATCAGTATTAGGCTACTTATAATGTGCCTTCACTGTTTTTAAAGATAAAGGACGCCACCACATTAAGGTGATCTTGGTAACTTATTTTACATCCATACTCAATCTCTTTTTCTATCAGATTTGCACATTATAAATGTATTTTTTTCAACTATTCTATTTACAATAAAGATTTAAAAAGATAATTAAAACGTTTTAAAACACACCTTTCAAATAAACTGAAACAAGTAAAGTCAGTTAGAGTAAATCAAATCATAACCTTGATTAGAATACCCTAAACATCTTTTAGTTGATAAATATCCAGCTTTAACCACCATATTTCCTCTTGAAATGAACATCATTGAAGCTGAAAAACTGATCCTTCAAGGGAAGGTTTAAAACGAAATTACTGTACATACTATATGGAGAGAATCATTCTTTTAAATAATTTCATTAAAAATGTGTAAAATATAGTTTATTTAGTCCAGCTGGGCATGAATTCCATAATTTCTATATCCAAAACAAGTGCCTTTAGAGTACTTTAATGCCCTGATCAACACTTTTCCTATTTTCTGATATTTATTTAAGCTATTACACTTGAAGGTTTGATCTCCATTATTTTCTTCCACTAATTGTTTCGCAATTAGAAAAATAATACCTTGTCACCTAATGGAACTTCCAATTCAATTCCAATTTCACTTGTTCCAAAATTGACTTAACACTGATGCATGGTTTTACATGCATAACCCATTCCACTAAGTCAATTAACTAAGTCAATTACATTATTGGCATAACATTATTCAAGATTTCATTTTGTATTTTCTATCAGTGATAGAATAATCTGATTTGCTAGTGAAACTTTAACAGGTACAACTGTGACAAGAAAACTGACCATAATAAAATATTTTTATTGGTTTCCTTTATGTATCTTACTAGCATATTCTTATGATTACAAGTATTTTATAAATGAAGAAGGAGAAGGAGATTGAGAAACAGATATCAAAGATTTGCCCAAAGACGCAATATTCCAACACTTTTTTACAACACATTTGATTTTTTAAATTGTTATATGTAATGTACTGGATGAAATCTCTACATGGCTGAATTCTTTTCCAGAAATCTTTCGGCATGTGCAGCAGTTTTACCTTGTTCCTCCACCATCAATGGAAAGGACTCGGATTCCTCTGCCTTTGACAGGGTCTGTGTACCCCACTAGAGCCAGTGCCTCCCTCACTGCAGCCTGCAGGGTCTCATCACTTGCCTGTCTGAGGCGCAACAAGCAAGGGATGACCTTCTCCTGCAGAACAAGCAAAGACATTTAATCCTCCTCTTTTTCATTTAAAAACAAAACATTCTACTGTACCCTGTGGCAAAAACATTATGAATTTCAACAGTTACGTGTGAACAAGCATATTCCAGGTAAGTACATTTTAAATTAAAAGGTAAACCTTTTTGGGAACAACGCAATATCACCACAGTTTAAACTTCACTGTGTTATGAAACTGTTCTAATGAGAAGGGTTTACATAATGGAAAACTAGTCCTGTAAAGCTGCATAGAATTCAGGACAAGTGATAAGATTTAATTAAATTAACTGTTACAATTTACCAGGGTCCTGGAGTTGGGGGGCCAGATCAATCCCTGGTGGTGGTGATTTTCTGTTTGTAGAACAATGATACAAATCTTAAATTTGAAGAAACCTACTCTAATATATTACTCTTTTACTCCATACATATATGTTTTTAAAAATAAAAGTATTGGATACTAATAATTTCAGATACTAATTAAATGTTTTAGCCATAACTGTGATTATTTCATAAATCACCTTCTTAGTAAAACAGCTCATTGGGCAGTTAATTAAGTGATAATTTATCCTGTTGAATGTCAAGACTGGTGGAAATCAAGAAAGAAAAACACAAACAAGAACCAATATATCCCACTTTTCAGAAGAATTATGTATTTGTTCCTTTGTATATTGGAGCAACACCTAATATGGACTCAGTAGCAGTGAAGCCAATCACTCTCTTCTGAATCATCAAGGTTTTGTATAGAACACATGCTCTACACCATGGATGTAAATTATGGATGATCAGCAGGGTTTACATTTATTCTTCAAAGACAGTAATAGAAATTGATCTTCCATTTAATTAGGTAATCAATATTTACAATGCCATATTCCTTCCATACCCTGGAACTGGACCTTTTTTTGCAGTGTCTTTCTGATACATTTTCATATGACTTTCACAATTTTTTATTTTTAGTGTTTCTATTTTACGTCTTGGACTTTTTATTACAATATACCAACACGCAGGAGGTATAGTGGTTGTGCAGGAGGTGGGCATGCGTCCCACAGGGCTTTGACATATTTGCAGCCCTAAAATACCTTTTTTAACCACATGTGTCCTGATTAGTGTGGTTAAGCTGTGCTATAATACAATCCTGAAATATACCGTAACTCAATTGTTTTAAGAATTTCTAAATACCTCTATGTTCTGCAGAAGTACAGGAAAGAAAAAAGGATAGCAATGTATAGTACTAGAAATAATGTAATATGATCAATAATGCAAAATAGTACAGACATGTAGAGCACACTGTGATTGACATGCAAGCAATCAGAGAACACCTCATCCATAAAACTATAAATGTATATGTGCTGATATCAGTATATTGTGGTGAATACTATAATTCTTGGAGAGGTAATTTAACATACATTTTAAGAAAAATCTTAGCCAAGATTGCAGGAAGAGATTTTAACCTGATAGATAATACAGAGAGAGCTGGACAAAGGATAATGTTTCATGGAACGGGTAAAGTAGAGTCAAAGCTGAAATACCAGATTCTGCATAAGTGATGTTAAGTAACATCATGGCCAACAGGTACATGACAATCCAGTTAAATTCATCCTAATGATAATGATAATCCTAGTGTTGCTTTTATTTCTACAGGAGTATGACATACTGTATATAGGTGGTCTGAACAGATTTAGTTTTTACTCTTGTTGAAGCAGAGAGGGAAAAATCAAGGAACTGTGCAAGGTGACATTTAAGGAGATAAACTAAAGGCAAGAAATTAAACATTATAAAAAGAAAACATAGTTGAGTGTAACTTATAATGCATACTGTCACAGACATTACTCATACTCACCTTCACTGCTACTCCTCTTGTTTCGGGGAACTCAAGGAGGTGATAGCTCAGCTCCTCTACCCTGTGGATGTAGATCTTGATATCAGAAGCTCTCTGCAGGGCTTGGACAAGAGCTCTTGTTCTATTATCTACGCTGACTCTTGCAATTATCTAGAAATATGCAAAAATGGAACCATAAGAAAAGGAATGTAAAAAGTTTTCATAGTTAACATACATACTTCCATAAGAAAACATTAAAAATACAATTGTATTACTACTGACAGTTTATGTAAAGTCCACATATTAAATGTCAACTGCATTAAAGCTAAATGCACCTGTATATGCAGACTTGTACAGTATATGGCTTTTTAATGCTTTAGAACCACTTTTACTTGTATAGTAGTTCAATAAAAACTATAAAGCAAAGGATTACAGGCCTGTGAAAATATATACTATGTTAGTACAACACTTGTTTGTGTCTTATTTAGCATAAATGTTCTTTTTAATGTAACAATTGGGAACATTCATGATTTTATAATGATGATTATATAATTAAATCTATAAATATCTAACAATAAACATTTTCTAAAAAATAAAACGAAAAACGTATCGCTTGAAAAGGTAGAAATACACAGTAGAAATACCCCTTAACACCATTTTGTACTTAAACACATTCCTGTTTCTACACATTATATTCCTTTAATATAATGCAACATGATATAAATGGAAACATCTAGTTAACTGAATCCATTACACGTAAGTTATAGTATATGAAACAATATCCAAAAAACACTGTCATCAACTAAAGTTCAGCTTTATTTTTTTTGTCTAGACTAAACTTAAATTAGTAAACCAACACAAATGTTTCCAAATCCACAACAACTCAGTGTCAATACTAAAAAAAAAAACTATAAAATGTTTAAATACATCTTCAGTAGCACATTTTTTGCAGATGAACATGTTAATTTTATCAAGAAGTGACCTTATTTCAAGACCTCTCCACAAACAGTTAGGGATGAAGAATATACAAGAACTGAAATGTCTGCAGACCACAATTACTGCACATATAGCTTTGAATTAAGAAATTTAAGAAAGAAACAGTAAATGAATAGCAATGGTTACTCATTTCATCCCCAGTGTAATTATTCTATCCATTACCACAGGTATGAATACCATATTATCACGTGTCAAGATATCAAAAATTGTGTCAGATTTAATCATAAGGCATTGTTTAATTGAAATCATTTTTATTTTTGTCTCAGAAAATCACTATGCAGGACTTTTAATTAAGTACTCTAGTGCAACTTTTAAGGTAGGAATAAATCAGTGATGTGTGGATAGATACATCAGACAGTATCAATGATGAGTCTTCCATTATAAACATTTCCTAAATGTGGAGACCTCTATACTTTTTTTATTTAAAAAATGTTGACAGCAATAGAGTATTTGCTGATATGTCACTGATAAAGTCAAAACAGAATGTTTTCCATCTGTTTTCTAATCGCTTTATCCAATACAGCATGGCAGGGAGCCGGAGCCGGAGCCTATTCCGGCAAGCAATGGGTGCAAGGCATGATATACCCTGTACAGGACGCCAGTCCATCCCAGGGCATGCTCACCAGGGCCAATTTTAATTTTCCCAGAAGACAATTAAGTCAGTATGTCTTTGGACTGTGGGAGGAAACTGGAGGACCTGGAAGAAACCCACATGAACACAGGGAGAACTTACAAAATCACCACAGATAGCATCCCAGATCTGAAATTGAACCCAGGGCCCCAGCACAGCAAGACAGCAATGCTAACCACTGCTCCACTGCGGCATTGTCATGGGTTTCCAGCACAGGCCATTAAGGCACGTTTTAACCCTCTGAAGTTATGTCACTTTATGGAAATATCAGATTCATAAGAATCGTTAACTTGCCCTACTACTCTAACAAAACTTACAGGAAATGCTGAGTAATCCATTAGAAAGATATCTAATAAAGATTTAAAACCTGTCACTAATATAGTGAAAAATACCTTACATTCATTCATTCATAAAATCAGAACTTGAGAAACAGTATTAAGGAAATGTAACTGAGCTTTACTAAGCTAAATATATTACTAACTTAAATATCTTCTCATTTGACTTCTAGAAAAAATCTATTCAAACAGCTTGGTTTGTAAATGATTGAAGAGGAAACATATTTATCTGACCTTACCCATATTTATTTTTCAAGAGCAGACCTCAAATAAAACAGTAGCCAGTTAACAAGCTTGCCAGTTAACATGCTACTAACATGTTTCTCTAAAATCATGTGCTTTCTTTGGAGTAGAAAGGAACTTCCTCTGCTACTTTACCCACATTATCACGATGAAAACCTTAAGACTCTAACAGATACTTAAAACAACACATTGAGAAAAAGTATACTAGTGTCAAATGGCAGTGGTATTCAAATAAAAAACATATTACTGCCTGATTGATAGGTGTGTGTTTTATTATTTTCACAAACACACTGAGGACTACAAATTTATTTTTTGTGTAAATATTAAAACAGGATTTTTTGACACTGTGGTCCATATGCACACTGACACACAAGTAATTTTACATTTTGCAAATACAAACTTAAAAAAAACTTTATTTGTACCTTCTCTCTCTGGAGCAAAAGTCGTTTGGCTTTGTCATCAACATTCTTCTGATCTTTACCATTAGCAACTTCTCCTTTTATAACACCTGCTTCTACCACAGTAGGAGTTTTTTCTTTTTCTTCTGGAATTCCCTTGGATTCATATCGAAACTTGGGAACCAAAGGGACAAGGTAGCTGCCAACAAATGCCTGCACACTGTGGCCAGGGTTTGACAAGTAGTGGGCAATGCGCTTTTTAGGGGAGGCAGGATCAGAACTAGAAGGTAAAGACTCAGAAGACTGGCTATCTGCAGCAGGAGCCCCTAATGCAGAACTCTGATCTGCAGAACTGTGAAGAGGACTGCCTTTGCCAGAACATTTAGAGTTGCCATTACTATCTGACTCTTTTTTATCCATTCTTGTTCCTTCCCCAAAATACTCATTAATATGACTTGCCAGAAAATTATACGTCTCACCAAAATTAGTGGTGAGGTAGCTAGGATGGAAAAGTTCTATAACGCTCTGTTTAGAGTTATTTCCAGATGTGTTCTGGACTGCCTTGGTCAAGGAAGATGTGGATTTTCCACTGTTTTGGAAGGATTGCTCTAAGGGTTGCTTTTTTTCTTCAAGTAGAGTCAGTTTATCAATTTCAGTGCCTGATGATTCTCTTCTTGAACCTTCATTATTAGCTCGCACATTGGACTCAACTTCTTTACAAGCCTGGACGGCATTTGGTTTAAATCGTGCTATTCTGGAAAGAAGCTCACTATGTGTTCCACTGACAGCTTTTGAAACAGAGTCCAAAGTGCTCTTGATCCGCGACATGCGATGATTGAAGCTTGTTGTTCCACGTGATACTGAGGTACTTAAAAAGGAAATGTTGGTGTGAAGACCAAGTTTCTTTCGCAGATAACTAACTCTACTAACCCATACCTTCAGCCCCCTGTAATTAGTGCAGTGGCTTTGCTTCAAGTTTGAATACCAAGCTTTACAGCTGAGGGGTCTTTTAAACTGGAGCTTTGTGGCTGGTTGAGCACTCTGTATCCTAAAATGGACACTGGGTGACTGGGAAGAAACCTGCCTTTGACCTTGGTTCAACCACAGGTTGCCTGTCCTACAAAGGACAAATACATAGGTATCCAACAGCAGACTAACAGTCATTCCTTTATTTTCCTGAAACTGTATTTTAAATAAGTCACTTCCAGTGCTGCACAGAAACCATCATCATCGTGCCGAAGACATTACTTCAAAGCATCACCTGCAAAAAAAGAAAGAAAAATAACAATAATAAATTAAGAATAAACTTCTTAATTTCCTGCAGCCATTATGCAATTATCATGTACGCCATTTTTTTTTTTAATGGCAGACCCAGCGGGGATCAAATAAAAAAGCAGGAACTGCTTTACCTGTTGAATTAAGGGGGGAATTTAGGGAACATTAGACAAAATTAAAGGGAAAGTTAGCCAGGACATATGATCAAAGGTGTTAGTTTAACACCTTTGATCATATGAACAGTGCCATGGGAAGTTTAAAAACCAAGCAATCCGGACCTCCTTTTAATGTCCCATCTAATGGGCTGCATTTGCTACAGCAGGATTCCTGGTCATCATTCTGGAAATAGGGAACGTCGTGGTACACTCTACATCTTGAGCAATCTGAACTTTGGTCTTCAGTTAGGCCTACACTTGACAAGTGCCTCAAAGTTGTTTGACACATCCATTCCAATTTTGCAGATAAATAAGTTAAAAAGAAATATACTAGTTCACATCTCTTCTCGTGAACAAACAGAAACACTTTTACAACTAAACAAAACATAGTACCTTTAATACTATCTCGTATTTAGTACCCTACTCAGCTTTTTACATTCAAAACGCTATTTCTGTTTCTTTAGGACAATATTAAAGACTGCAAATAATGACAAGCGATTTAAAATGATGACAGTTCAGAATATACATAACTAATTATTTTAACACTTCTGGAAGTTTTCTAGAAATTTCCAAACTGAAACCCGTATCTGAAAGTCAATCATAGCAGGACAGAACAGTTCAGCTTCTCTATTAAATAGCAAACGCCAAACTCATTTTAACCCTCCTTAAGTAGCCTAACATACAACATACATAACATACTTACAATATTTTCTAGTACAGTAAGTGTTCCGCATTACCGAAAAAAAATAAAGAGGTTTCTGTTATTAATACGAAAGTTCAGCCATACAGCTAGCTAGTAATGCTATTAAAATACGTACCGGTATAAGAGAGTCCGGTCGCTCGTATCATGCCTTATAATGTAACACAAAACCCCATGTTTCTCTTTTCTCGTCGTTTCTGCATTCAATTAATTTCCGTTTACATCTCAAGATCTGAAAATAACAACAGCAACACTTTCCTTTCCCAGCCGTGAAAAAATAACATCGAATAGGTAATCACGAGAGATCTAAACCGATCTATGATAGGCTGCTGCTCTTGGGCTTCGAAATAACTGACGACATGATTGGTTAAAATTGACAGACCACCACCGAGGTTGCCAATACTGGGAGCATTTCTAGAATCACACCCATAATATCTCTTACGTCATTACCAGTGCTTGGAAGGGTTACTAAGGGGCATCGAAAACCATGTCAAATTCAGCAATAAAAGCATGATTAGAGAGAGCCTGGGGGGACGTTTGTACTTGTCGTTTTTCCTGACCATAAAGGCAGTTAAAACTATTATGAGAATAACAATGGTTTCAAATATATGGCCTTTATTCAGTATATACACTATACACACTGTAAACAGTATATATGGCCTATATACACTTTAAATATTTCAAACAAGCATTAAATATAGGCTAAGAATATGTACCGTTATAATCACACTATGATTACAATTACACAATTAAATTCATATGAGTCGAAGCTGTTATAATTTTTCCTTTGCATACGTGATTTTCAAGATTTTTATGACGCAGTAAGGTGGAGTTGACCTTCTGCATCTTCACGCAAAATTAAAAATTAAAGGAATCAGAAACTTCAGTTTGTGACCAAATGTATTCTTTGTTGAATAAAAATGTATTCCTTAACTGCCATTTTATTTAGTTTTTGTTATGCTTGATTATCTAAAGGCGTTATAAATGAAAGATGTTGCACAAAAAATGCTATTTGTGTATTGGATCCTTTCGTGCTATTTTACTATTTGTATAGCTCTGCCCAGCTATCTGTCCATGCATTAAAATCTAAATTTTATTAGTTGTGTGTTTGCTTGTCATTTTATATTTTTTTTATTATATGACTAAATGTGCTATATACATGTATTTACTATATTGTAAATGTCCTCAAATACATTGAGTCACACACTACTCAGTAATGAGATCTTATGAACACTAGATGGCAGAATGTGATAGAAAGAAATAAAGAGTATTGTATAAAAATCACAGATTTAAATCTTTCGTTGACAACACCATTTAGTAACCCCCGGTTTAGCGGTCTAATAGGGGGGAAGGGATGTCCTGTATGAATCACGAATGAAAACGGGTTTTCAGCCCCAAATCATACTATTATTATATGAGTAGATAGGGCGCTGGTCAGCGGCCGGTGAGGGTCGGGGTTCAACTCCGCAGGTCTCCGCAGAACTCATTGTATTGTATCGCATATGGCCATCAGGGTGTGTAAGAGCCGGCTTACCAGAGCGGTGACGTCGCCGCCCTTCCCTGTGATAGCAAGACCACAGCCACTGGGATGTGGAGCGATCTCTCTTTGGCTCACCGGGCTGGATCCCTGTTGGGTGATGCGGGAGTCCCGGGTACGAGACCCCGATGGTGGGGGACTGATCGAATGCGGCAAGGGCGGCCGCCAGAACCCCCGTAGCGTTACAATATGCTTTATTTATCTATTGACTTATTTTAAAACAATTTAAATAAACAAAGTTAATGAAGATGGTTCCTTTGCTCTTTATTTCATGAATCCTAAATATACTGTGTACAATTCCCTAAAGAATACGAAACACAAACAACACCTATAGCAAATAATTGACCTACTCCTACAGGGCACAATTTATATTGCAGAATTTTAAACTTCTGTAGTTATTTATGTTACCCTGTTTTATTATTAGTGTATTTCCCTTTCGGCGGGGGATGCCCAGTATTTATGGGCTATTTTAGCAGATTTTGTCTGTTAAATCCTAACTGCAATCAGAAAAAACACGCATTCCTGGAAAAGGTTGCGGTAAAAAAAAGATTATCCCAGTGGCATTGGCAAATGCAAGAATAAACTCTTGATTAGATGCTTGGTCATATCGTCATATGCACATCCCTATCAAGCATCACACATACACATATTTAGAAATAATTTTCAATTAAATCTTTACTGAGCTTTTCCCTACTTTCTCTACTTCTGCTGTGTATCACTGTATATGTATTGTATTATACAACAGTGTGTTGAAAAATGTCATGAATTAATGTACACTATTCTTATTCTTATTATGGCAAAATGATCTGGACCTCAGATAAATCTAGGATCCACTGCTGAAAACATCTGGTCTCTTTCAATGTGCTGTTAGTAATAGGTATTGTATTTCAAGAGGACCCCAAAACTATTCAAGCTATAAAGAATATTAATCAAAATGAAAGGTTATGAAATGTTCTTCACCTTTGAAGTTTTCCGTTTTCAAAGAAAAAGGAGTGTAGAGTGTATTACTAAATATTAATTGTATGATGTAAATTGGAATTATATTAAAATTATTTAAAAGTGCCTTTCTCTATAGCCACAGACATTCTTGTTATTTATTTTTTACTCTTTTCATTTTTACACAAACTATACAACTTGACAAGGAATAAAAATGTTAATATAGCTACCAAGCTACCAACCTGTTATTATATGCACATTCCACAGCATGTCTTGCATTAGTAAGCTTGTAATGCATACTAATCTGTTATAAATGTCAGATGTACTTGACATGTACTTGCATTTCTTTTTAATTTAATGACACTTTTTATGTCCCAGACTGTCAGCCTTGTTAAAGCCAATTTTATATAACAATGACATCCACTACTTTGAATACTTAAGCCTTTTACTGGTTGAGTATACTGTAGTATATACAGTACAATATGCTTCTGTACTGTTTAAAGGTTGGCAGTCTTCACAAATAAAGACATGGGAAGGCTAGTATCCACATGGCTCATGTGAAACCGTCAATACAAAAGCAGTGATGAAAGAAGCAAACATGTGCTTTTAAAGCAAAAGGCAAGCTTTAATCTTTTATCTATGTGGATTAAATAAGTGTATCTGAATTTCAGACATCCTGTGACCCACTGAAACCAGAGTCACATTTTCACCTATAAAATACTTTATATTTATGATATCAAGAAAAAACTAACCTCCTTTTCCAATCACTAGCGATGTTCATCCACTAAGGGTGACCCCACATAACACCACAGCAAGCAGTCTGTTTTAGAAAATGATTTACTTAATCATGATACAAGTTTACTCCAAATGTTTTATTTTATATTTCAGGTGTGACACCTGAAGTAGGCCCCACAGCCAAAATGTTGTGTTTCTTTTCTCTTTTCAGCATGGAATAAAGCTTTACTTGTTCCTTTGCAGCCTACACACACTAACGCAGCTACCTACATGAATAAAATGAATACAATCATTAAAAAAGCTAACATATACAAGTATACATATCGATTTTGATCAAAGTAAAAACAGAATTCAGAAATTCTAAAATAAGGAAAATCAGGAGCAAAATAAAACTTGAAAATGTAAATTGAAATTTTACAAGGAATTTACATGTAAATGTACAGTACATGTAAATTTACAAAAAAATAAATCAATACTATGATACATGTATATTTTTCCAGAGCATTTGCTCATTTAAAATATAGTGGTACGTATGGGGTTGCACATATTCCAGGAACCATAGCATCAAAATCGCAGCAGCATCAGTTGTAGGAGCTATCCTTGATTTGTGACTGGTGTGACAGCACTGCTGAGCCCCAACTCTTTCTCAATAATAACTCTCAAGGTTGATGGGTGTCACTATGATGGGTGTCTGAAAACACCCATCATAGTGACAAAACATTTTTAATCAATTATTTTACCTTATAAGTCAATTGAGAACAAATTCTCATACACAGTGACAACCCAGAGAGGTTCATTTACTGTATTTAGCAGACTAAAGAATGCAATACCTTTCAATCACACCTAGTTTAATTCATTCTCAGAAATTGTTCTTAGGGAAAGAAGTCTGAGTGTGTTACATTTTCCTAACAAGATTTAACAATGCAAAATGGATATGGTTTTGTGTATTGTTTTTTTTTTTCAATTATAATTCCTTAAAAAATATATTTTTGTAAAAAAAAAGATGTAGTTCCAGGGGTGATTGCAACAAGCCACAGAATATGTTTAGAAATTAAAGTCTAACCTTTCTGTGTAAATCCACTGATACGCAGGATGAATGCCAATGTCAAACATTAAACTCACTAAATTATTACAGTTTCCCTGCAGTTTTAGATCTCAGTAATGAGTGGTCCCTGAGGAAGTAAAGAATAGATAAACCACAATAACAAGACAGACTGAAAGCCTTTGTGTTTTTTCATGGGAGTCCGCTAAGGCAAACCAAATGTACTTACCTGCCAGGCATACTGCTACAGAGATTATTATTGGAAATAATCACCCTTGTAGTACAATGAAAAAATATTATGATAATGTGCCCATTTTTATCATTAACAAATTCTGAAAATGTGCCTAATAGTCTGAGATGTTTTCCAGAGATATCTCCAAGTGGTAAATTTTTAATGTCTAAAAAACAGGTACATACAAATATCTGCATTTTATTTTTTTATTGGGAACAGAGTTCTGGTAAAATATATTAAGCCAAAGCAAAAGTACAGCTGACTTTTTACGAATAACAGCACATCAAAGTCTGCCCAGATGTTTGTCCAGTGTTCTGAAGGCATAAACAAGTATTGTATATCATCCCTAATGTGCTCATTTCATGTTGGTCTGTGGAGTTTGTAGGGTTAGATAGCATCCCTGATGCCTGTTCTTTTTCTCTCTGTACAGTAAATGTATGGTGTTCAATGCTGTTGTAGATATAGAGTTGCTGTTGGTTGTGTCTGCTGCCTGGTTTTCTCAATGTTGTTCAATGTTTGCAGTTAATGCTATTTCAAATAGCAGTCTGGTGGCTCAGATTCTGAGTCTATGGTTAGGCTCACATCTCAAATTAAGAAAATGGTTTTGTAATTAAGAGGTATTTTTGAGATTTGCATACAAACACATTTGAAAGCTACAATATAATGTAGCAATATAATAAAAAGCAATGTTTAGACTAGTACAGTGGGGTGCGAGTTTACTGTTCTGTGTTTACAACTGTAAAAGACAGATGAGATATTTTGTGTGCCTATATAAGAAAGATTTCTTATTTCTTGCAGCATCTGGAGAAATTACACAATTTAAAG